TATCAAGAATTGAAAAGAATATCTTTGAGTAATGTCTTTGATTGATATGAACGCTTGTCACATGATCTCACATACTTCTTGTTGTTCCTCTTTTCTTTGCCACATTGAAGTACATATATATGGCATAACATTATATTGTATCTATTTTTGAACTCACTAAGCGTCACCGCTTACCCTATCAATGTTTAACAATTGCAGGTGATAAATAATTAGTATGTTTACATACTATTGAAAGATGTAGAATAGTTTGTAATAGTACTTTTGTACTACTTTTTATGCTTATATAAATTACAATATCTTGGGTAGTTATGTAATATATATAACACTTTGTAATAGACGGTTTGTATCCAATAGTTTGTAAAACCTTTATATCAATGTAAAATATTGCTTTTATGAATATGCAAATAGATTGTTTATGAGTAATGATAATGTGAAATATGAAAGTTTGGGTCTTTCAAAGATACGAAAGTTGGGGTCTCTCACTGACCGTCTTACGACCAGGTACATTGTCAACCAAGTTCCAAACTTGATTGTCATACAAGGACTGAATCTCGCTGTCCATAGCCTCTTTCATTTTGCGGAGTCGAGGTCAGCTATGGCTTCCTTGTAGTTATTAGGCTCATCTAAATTTACCAGTGTACTATCACTGATAAATGTATCACCATCTATAGTAATATGGAAACCATAAAACTCAGGTGTAATTCTAACTCTACTAGAACGTCTTAGAGGAAAGGACTTGTCAATTGGTTCAACAAGAATTTCCTCCTCAGGTTGAGTGCTAGTGTTTGAGGATCCTTCATCACTTAACTCTTGAAGCTCTTCAAGGTGAATTTGCCTCCCACTGTCCTCTTGACATATGAGTTCTCTTTCGTGGAAAATCCCTCTCTTTGCAACCAAGACAACATTGTCACTTGATCTATAGAAGAGATATCCAAAGGATTTCTGTGGGTAGCCGATGAAAATAGAACGCTCACTACAAGGTTTGAGCTTGTCATGAGTCTCTCGTCTTACTAAAGCCTCGCAACCCCAAACCTTCTTATGTGTTAACGAGGGAACCTTACATGTCCACATTTTGTGAGGTGTTTTGGCAACCTTCTTAGTTGCGACTGGATTAAGGATATGGGCGGCAGTATCTAAGGCATACCCGTAGAATGAGAAAGGTAACGAAGCTTGAATCATCATGGAACGAACCATGTCCAACAAAGTTCGATTGTGCCTCTCAGCCAGACCATTAAGTTGTGGTGTCCTAGGTGGCTTCAATTGTGAAACATTTCCACATTCCTTAAGATAGTTGTGTAACTCAACACTAAGATATTCACCACCTCGATCAGATCGGAGCATCTTAATTTTACTTCCCAAATGATTCTACACTTCTTGCTTAAACTCTTTGAACTTTTCAAAGGTTTCCAAATTGTGCTTGATTAAGTAAACATATCCATATCTTTTATAATCATCAGTAAAGGTTACATAGAAGCGGTTAGCATCCCTTGTGGCCAATCTAAAAGGACCACCCACATTGGTGTGTATATGATCCAACAAACCCTCACCTCTTTCATAAGTACCAATGAAAGGTGACTTGGTGATCTTTCCTAGAAAACAAGATTCACATGTATCATCCGAATTTAAGTCAAATGACTCCAACACTCCATCCTTTTAGAGTTGGGCTATGTGTTTCTTGTTGACATATCCAAGACAACAATGCCACAAGCATGCCTTGCCCATACCATTGGATGAATCAATATGCAATACATTATTTCCTAAGTTGTCTACAACCATCACGGTTTCATATACACCATTACAAGGCAATGCTTCAAAATAAAGTTTACCATTATAAAAAGCATTAATAGAACCAATTTCTTTATTAAATAAAAATCTAAAACCTTGTTTATGAAAACCTTGAAAAGAAATAATGTTTCTCGCCATATATGACGAGTAGCAACAATTATTCAAATATAATTCTAATCCAGTACTAAGCAACAAATAATAAACTCCAATCTTGGTAACAGGCGACGCTTTCCAATTTCCCATGATCAGGTTCATCTTCCCGAGCTCCACATCCCTACGTCTTTTTAGACCGTGCAAATCAGAACAAATGTGAAAACCTAATCCTGTATCAAGGACCCAAGAATTAGCATGTGATGAGTTGTTAGAATGAATAGTTTAAATACCTGTGAAGGTGGGCTTTATCTTCCGATCCTTGATGTCTGGAAAGTATTTGGGTTAGCTTCATTTCCAATGCTCTTTGTCATGACAGTAGAAGCACTCTACATCCTTTGGATTGGAAGAGGGAGCAACAGAACCACTTTTGGACCCACTAGAAGAGGCTCCATCATGAGGCTTTCACTTGTGATTCTTTGTAGGAGCTTTCCTTTTCTTCCCTTTACCATGTCTAATTGCCAATACCGGGGCAACAACAGTAGGAGTAGGTACAATAGATTTTCCTTTCAAAATTACTTTCAACAGTTTTGAGAAGGCCTTAAAGCTTGCTTAGAGTGACTTCCTCCTTCTTCATATGATAAGTCATTCTAAATTGATCATAACAAGGAGGCAAAGAGTGTAGGATAATGTCACTAGCCAAATCTTCATCGAAGTTGACATCAACTTCAGCAAGTGATCCACAAACCTTTGCATCTTTTGCAAGTGGGCTGTGATGGACTCTACATCCTTCATTTTTATTGTTATCATGGAGGAAATGATTCCATACCTTTCCTGTCGAGCACTTTTATGGTACATTTCCATCAATTCTTGGTGCATCTCGAAAGGATAATAGTCCTCATAGGACTTTTGGAGTTCAGTTGTCAAAGTGGCAAGCATGATGCACGACACCTTTGTCACGTCCTTCTCATGAGCCCTATATTCAAAAATTTCTTCAGAAGTAGCAGTCGCTTCATCAACCTCTTTTAGATCTTTATCAAGGACATATTACTCATCCTCGTAATGAGTGACCTTTCGTATGTTGCGAATCCATTTGTTAAAATTTGACCCATCGAAAATCACCCTCCCACATAAGTTTATGAGGGAGAAAGGGTCGGAAGTGTTGGAGCCAGCAGCGTTTGGTGTAGATTAGATAAGAATCTTGAATATAATACCCAAATAAAATATTAAGGCTAGGTCCCAACACAACATTTCACAATTCGGAAGAAGGATGCCGTAATCCAATTGCAAAATATTTGAAGGTAGGTAAATGATGATTTACCAATTTCTTCCATGAAAAACAAAATTTAGGATTAATTTTTAAATGAATTGAAATTCCTAGATCTTTGAGATTCATTGAACTTTTCAATGGCATGTTTAAATCTCGATTATGCCCTTCAAGTTTGTGACTGGGATACTGAGGATCACAAACAAGGTATGATTAACCATGCAAATGTGCTTGGTACTCTTGATGTCATTTATCACCTAATCAATGTGTCGGTTAACCACAAACGCTCCATTGATCTATGACAAACATCAAGTTGCCCTTTGCCACCCTTGCTAGTCTAAGTTAGTGTGTCGGTTAACCACACATTCTCCACTAGCAACTTAGCAAGGTGTAAAGTGCAATTTCATGGAATAGCACTAATTTCACAATTTTCCTAAAGTAAATAAGATTGAGAATTTAGAAAAACATCTAGTTACATTTATAATTTCCATTATACTTTTTAACGAGAATTAATGTCTTATCCTACATGTTCAGCTAACGACCCTCCACCAGTCAAGGAAGCGGTGGGTGAGAATGGACACCCATTTAATCTCCATTTTATAGGCAATTTCCTTATACCCCCTTATAGACCAGCTTCGTGAATGAGACCTACTAACGGTAAGATTGACTTGTCTTATACATATTTTTGGGTCAAAATTATGGTTTATACTTTTCTTTTCTAGGCAACTGTATTTTTCTGTAGTGTAATATGTGTTTGCGGTTGTGTTCACGGCCAAGTTGGTGTGTACGGCCATAAACAGGTTTACGGCCGTAAACCCGTTCACGAACGTGAACTCGCGTTCGGCTCATGTTCCATATAAAAATAGGTGTAAGGTGTGAGGAGAGAAAAAAAAGGGAAAGAAAGAAGAATCTTCGAGGATCAAAGGATTCCAACCCGGGACCTTTGTGTCAATAAAGGGAAAATGACTTATAAGGGTAAGAAAGTTTCACAAATGTTCAAAAAAAACCATCTAAGTTTGTCGTTGTTCAAAAAATACCATCCAAATAACAATATTGTATAAAAAATACCAATAAAATATACTGTTTGTTCAAATGTTACCTATGGTAACCGGTAGGTGTAGGTTACCTCTCTTATTCAGCCGTTTAAAAAAAATAAAAAGAAAAAAGGAAATGACATGGAGTATACGATCGTTTAACATATATGTGGGTTTTACCCTTCTCTCTCAACAACACAAAGATTGGGAAGGCGATTCTTCTAGGTCTCGATCGATCAAATATCCTTCAAGAAATTCTGAAGTCGGATATGTTCATGTAAGTTATACTCTTAACATTCCCTCTTTTAGCAAACAAATTTTCTTTTCTTGTGTCTCTTTTTGTGTTTCAAACACTGGCTTCGATACCCCAACCCCTCTAAATCAATCGAACGTTGGATATAGAATGGAGGTTTCTAGACTCATCGTTGATTGATAAAAATCAGACCATCACTTATTCTCATGGGTAACTTACCCTAAATCAGGGGTAACAAACCCTATATCAGTCCGCATACTTTTGAACTGTGTTGAACATTCTTGGAAATTTTATTATTTTAATTAGTCATATGTTCAACCTTTATTTATCTTATATGATTATGTTACTTGCTAATCATTAACAATGACCTTTGTAGTTGACTTTGGCCGTTAAAACAAGAATGTCGTTCTCGACAGATGGTGCATTGAGTATAGATGTTTTCCATAAAGGAGTGTTTGTTCCTAAGCCCTTGATGTACTTCAATCCTGATAAGACTTCTGTCACAGAGGTAGACTTACGAAATATGGAGTTTAAGGACTTCAAAATCTAAATCCGTAATCTGACGAAGGGTATGTGTCATGATATGTACTACTGTCTTCCAAATCGGGCCTTAGTAGATGGGTTGAGGGAGCTGAGAGATGAAGATGATTATGTAAGGTTTCTTGATGCTGGATATAAAAATGGGAGAAGAATCAGTATCTACATTGATCACGACCACGAGCCACTTATGCAATGGATTGAAGAAGAGATAGCCGAAGATGGAGTGTACGGTGATAGTGATCCATCTTCTGATGATGTGGACTCAGTGATGTCAGATGATATATCGGTAGACCATGAAGTTGATGATGAGGTTATAGAAATTCCTAAATCTGTTGATCTGTTTTTATCCAAGAAAAATCTTATTCTAGAAGGAGGGGTAGATGAGGAAGTTGATGATGAGGTCCACCACTTTCCTATTCATGATCCCGACCAGAAATGGGACATAATGGTACCTGTATTAGGCATGAGATTCTCTGACAGATATGAACTCAAGCAAATGTTAACAAATTATGCTGTCTTTAAAGGGTATGCATTGTGGTACGAAAAAAATGACTCAACTAGATTGTTAGTGAGGTGCTGTAAAAATAAAGAAGGGAAGGCAGCTTGCCCTTTGAGACTATGGGCTACTCCAATGAGTAGTGAAGATTCATTCTAGATCAAATCGCTAATTGACGAACATAACTGTTGTAGGCAAGTTAATTTGGGGTCTATTGTGACATACAAGTGGATTGGTAAAATGTTAACGAATGACATTTTGGAAAAGCCCCGCATCAGCTACAGGAACATGGTTGCATTAGTTAAGAAAAATTTTGGTTTGCATGTAAGTGTTGGGCAATGTAGAAATGCCAAGAATTTTGCACTAGATGAAATTTCAGGTAGCTTGGTGGGACACTATGAAAAGTTGTGGGATTATGGAGCGGAGTTATTGAGGTCTAATCCGGGTTCAACAGTCTCAATAGAAGTGAATCCTATGCCTGATTCTACAACTTACTTTAAAAGAATGTATGTTTGCCTTAAGGGTGTGAAGGATGGTTGGATTGAAGGATGCAGGAGGGTGATTGGTGTTGATGGATGTTTTTTGAAGGGTATTTGTAGAGGTGAGCTATTAGCAGCTGTTGGTAGGGACTCCAACAACCAAATGTACCCGTTGGCATGGGCTGTAGTGTCAGTAGAAAACAAGGAAGCCTGGAAATGGTTCTTAGATCTGCTACTTGAGGACATTGGGATGGGAGATGGCAGAGGTCTTACCATTATTTCTGACCAGCATAAGGTTTGTTCTTATAAATACATAACTTAGTGCTTTATATGTTATTTTATATTTAATGTTAATATTTTCATCTGGCAGGGTTTGGTAGAAGCTGTTAAAGAAAGAGCACCAGCATGTGAGCATAGGCAATGTGCTAGACACGTCTATGCTAACTTTAAGAAGAAATACACAGGTGTTGACTTTAGGAAGTTATTCTGGAGAGCTGCAAAGTCCACAACCGAGTCAGCTTTCCGATCTTATATGAGGGAAATCAATGCGATGTCCACACATGCTTATGATCACCTAATGGAAAGAGACCCAAAGACATGGTGCAAGGCATTTTTTGAGCTTGATAGGTGTTGTGATGCTGTGGAAAATGGAATATCAGAATCTTTTAATGCAGCAATTGTAGGGGCCAAGAAAAAACCTATTATATCAATGTTGGAAGAAGTCAGAGTGTACGTGATGGAGAGGATGTACAAACAAAAAGGGAAGGGGGAAAAATGGAACTTGGATATATGTCCTTCCATTAGAAGGAGGATTGAGACATTTAAAGAACAACAGAGGTATACTACTTACTTGGAATGCAACTTTTTTTATTTGAAATTACTTACTTTATACCATTTCATCATAGGTATTGGGATGTTACTCCAAGTGGTCCGCAGATATATGAAGTGAGACAATTACATGAGGTTTATGCAGTTGACTTGGACCAAAGAACCTGTGGGTGCAGAGCATGGTAGTTGACTGGTATACCATGTGTACATGGTATTGCTGCAATCTTGTTTTTGAATGGGAATGTAGAGGAGTATGTTGCAGTTTGGTTCACAACGAATATGTTTGGAAGTTGCTATAGATATAACGTGAAACCAACTAATGGAGCTGACATGTTTCCAGAAACAGGTCTTCAAAGCATCTTGCCACCAAGGCGTAGGAGAATGCCCGGGAGACCAAAAGTGAACAGAAAGAAATGTCGTACAGAAAAAGAAGGAAAACATACTGTTAGCAAGAAGGGGGGCATTCCAAAATGTGGTAATTGTCATCAAGAAGGTCATAATAGGAGACGATGTTCATTGCTGAAACAAGGTTTGATTCCTAATTACAATATTTCTTTATTAAGATTTTGACACTAATAATTTTTTGCTTTACAGATGAATAACTACCTGAGGAGGTTGGGTCTGAAGAAGTAGTGGTTGCTGAGGAGGTTGGGGCTGAAGAAGAAGTGGTTGTTGAGGAGGTTAGGGCTGAAGAAGAAGTCGCTGCCGAGGCGGTTGGGGTTGAAAAACAAGTGGTTGCTGAGGAGGTTGGGGTTGAAGAAGAAGTGGTTGTTGAGGAAGTTGTTGAACAAATGGTGGCTGATGAGCAACCAAATGAGGAGCAAGCAGCTGAACATGTAGTTACTCAACATGTACAAGTTGTTGCTAAAAAGTGTAATAGGAGAAAGGGTGGTCCTTCTCAGAGGATCACAAAGCTTAAGTTGATGAGAAAGGTGGTTACAAAAGATGGAAGTGGGTCAAGTATTGATAATCCAGTCACCTTAATCTAGGATATTAGCTTTTGTTTAAATTATGCCAAAAACTATGAAATGGCACATCTTTTGGTGCTTAGTGCACACTAAAAACAATTAAGTATTGTAAGGGCTCCTCTTTTGGTGCCTTGTGCACACTTACCAACATTTAGTGCCGGATGCACATGTTTTGAATGAATATCACTTACTGTTTATGCCCTTTAAATTGTTTGTACATCTACTGTTTTATCACTTACTGTCCATATATTGTTGTTTGTTGCTTTGAAAAATTGTGATTTTAATAGTTATTTACCAATCCTTTGTTTGGGCATAATGTGACCAATACTTTGTTTGAGCATGAGGTGGGCAAGAAATAATAACGTACAAATTGAAAGTGTGATGCTTTTTCAGAAATGGTGTTTTGGTCATTTACTTCACTACATCAATACTAATATTTGGCCATTAAATCATATATTTTTTTGACAACTGCTTTATCATTTTCTGTAATTAGGTTTTGTGTTACCAAAATCACTCCCAAAATTTCGAATTTGTCCATAAGAAGATGGAAGCTTCACTAGTTTCGCCAAAAATGCAACAAGAATGACCAAAATACCCCTGTTTTTAATTTCACCAAAAATGCAACAAGAATGACCAAACTACCCCTGTTTTTAGTTTCGCCAAAAATGCAACAAGAATGACCAAACTACCCCTGTTTTTAGTTTCGCCAAAAAAGGAACAAGAATGACCAAAATACCCCTGTTTTTAGTTTCGCCAAAAATGGAACAAGAATGACCAAAATACCCCTGTTTTTAGTTTCGCCAAAAATGCAACAAGAATGACCAAACTACCCCTGTTTTTAGTTTCGCCAAAAATGCAACAAGAATGACCAAACTACCCCTGTTTTTAGTTTCGCCAAAAATGCAACAAGAATGACCAAACTACCCCTGTTTCTAAATTAATGACCAAGATGCCTATGTTTCGAAATTAATGACCAAAATACCCCTGTTATAGCAGCCATGTGTGAGGGTTTGCATGCGGTTCTATATCATTGAATAAAAGTTCATTGCTATTTCTCCTCCATTATAATGGCTTGATGACAGTTATACCATCCATACAAACAACCATTATATACTAAAAGGACAATGATATTTCTTTTAAACATTGTTAAAAGCAACGTCAAACTACAAAAAGTACATTGATATTTCTTCTAACATTGTTAAAAGGGAAATCAAAGTGAAACTACAACTTACCATACATATTAAAAGAAGTACATTGCAATGATTTAAATATATATACTACATCATTAATTTCACTAAAAACACAACAAAAATCATGATTATGAACCACTTCTGAAATCGTAATTTCCTACTCATTTGTATCAATTCCTTACTTAAAGTAATATATTCCTTCTTTGCTATCCCTTTGTGCTCATTGAAATCTTTTTCCAAAATTGATATCCTCACTTCAATGGAATCTACTTTTATTTCTGTTTCATCTCTCTTATTCGTGTTTCTTACTCCTTCATCGTCATCAACCCATTTCCAAAGAGAACAATTTGGTGTGTTTGGATCCTTCAACCCATTTCCATAGAGAACAATTTGGTGTGTTTGGATCCTTCATATGCAGAAAAAAAATTACCATCTGAAGAGGGAAAACAACATTAACTAAGGAAGTATGTATACAAAAGGTATGATAACTTACCAGTCGGTTGGGACAAACCCTAAATTTTTTCCCAGGATTCTTTTTAGTGGTTGAAGTCCAAATTTGCGATGGGAACCCACAACCACAAGGGTATGAATCATCAACCATCTTCTTTGTCTTTGAATTTTGAACATTTGTGAAATTTTCTTACCCTTATACAAACACACACCTTACCAACTGAGCTACCAAGATACACGCTTCTTGACTTTGAAATTTAAATCATATAGTGTACACAACAACTTATTTACACTTAAAAAACAAAACGATTTTGGGGATGCAAGGAATCGAACTCATGACCTCTAACTCTTAAAACATGCATCTTACCAGTTGAACTACATTGCCAGACATTAAACATCTCGCTCCTTTTAAACATATAGTCTATGCAGTAGAAAATAAATCAAAAAAAAATTCGAGGGTTGCAAGATTCGAACCCGGGTGCTCTACGTATTGAATCCTCCACCTTACCAACTCCTCTAGCATCACTCCTGTTTCATTCCTTTCGATTTTAATTTAAAACCACTCCCATTCGCACCTAATTCGCAAATTTGACACTTTTAACCCCAAAACAATTTCCTTTTAATTTTAAATTCCATTTTCAACCCAAAAATTTTAGTTTTTAATTTTTGACTTTTAATTTTGACTTTTTACTTAAAATTTAACTTTGACTTTAAAGTTTGACCTTTCACTTTAAATTTTGACTTTCTCATTTGACTGTAACGACCAAAATTTCAACAAAATTTAAACTTTTCAAAAACATGCCAATTCATTAAGTTATTACAAAAAGGCTTTCAATACATTTATTATCAGAGCATTCCTAGATCCATATCATAAAACATAAACGCGAGAAGCGGTACGATCATGCCTTCGCCTTGCCACGGTCTCATGAAGAACTTGAAAAACATTAAACCACAACTGTAAGCCCGAAAGCTTAGTGAGATACCCCAAAGTACCAACCACATATACCATACACATAACATGCTATATCATAATGAATCGCAGAACAACCATGCATATCAGGTCTACTGTGGGACTGGTCCGCCGTGCCGGGCCTTCAGTCCACCTGGTCCACCCTCCGAGTCCAGTCATGTCCCTCGAGTCTGCAGTGTGGTTGGTCCACCCGCGCCGGGCCTTCAACCCACATGGTCCACTCTCTGAGTCTACAGTGTGACTGGTCCGCCCGCATTGGGCCTTCAGTCGGCCTGGTCCAATCTACGAGCCTCGGCACGTCTGGTCCACCCTCGTGGGGCCTACAGCTTATCCGGACCGCTCGCTGGGCCTTCGGAACAACTGGTCCGCCCTGGGTATCTTGGCCTACAGCACAAAGCAGGACCCGCCTCAACCCTACTCCAGTCCAACAACCATGTGCACATAACATACAATCATATAACAGTTCATAGTCCACAAACCGATCAAACAGATCACATAACATATCATTACCCTAACCACGATACCGACCTAACCGGTCACTAGCATAGCATCACTCCACATATCGGGAAATCGACCTTAACCAGGTCTCTAGCATGTACCATCCTAGCTACCAGGATGCAGACATATCAAAGCAATAACATAACGACCATATCTGAATCTCAATCCAATAAAGGGCCGGCCTTGGTGCCTTAGACCCTGTCGATATATTGAGGATAACTCACCTCGCAACTGCTGACTGATAGGATAAGATCACGCTGTTGCAACCTCCGACCCGAACTCCAACACTGTCAATACCCAAAAGACTGAATCCAATAAGTACCAATAATTACCAAATTACCCCTGGAAGTCAACTGGTCAACCCTTGGTCAAAGTCAAAGTCAAAGTCTACCCCTGACTGACTCTACTCGCCGAGTCAACCCGATGACTCGCCGAGTCCCCATACACAGAACCTCCTTCAACTCGCGACTTAACTCGTCGAGTTATCCCTTGACTCACCGAGTCACAGCCTTCCCAAATGAAACTTGGACCCTACGACCAGACTCACCGAGTCCAAGAACAGACTCGCCGAGTCTACGACTATCTTCAACCTACTCGCCGAGTTGTTCTTCCAACTCGCCGAGTTCCAGGCCATCTTCATCCAACTCGCCGAGTCCACCCATGTGACTCGCTGAGTACCACCGTGTCTGAATCCATACAGAGGCTTTCCAAGCCATGCAGATGATCCAAACCATAGATCTACCCCTCCTAAGGCCATCCATCACATAAAATGGCAAACTTTACGTGAATCCAAAGAGATCTAGGCATTTTACCCTCTGGGGATAGGGTTTGGGATATGATGGCTTCACCAATCACTCAAGAACAGGGACTTTAATGCACTTAAGACCTTCTCCACTCCAGATCTATTCTTCAAACTCAAGATACCACAAGCTAAGCCTCCCATACATCCAAGAATCATGAATCTAGAAGAATAATAGCCCAAGAACGAGATTATACCTCAAAAGGAAGCCCTAACAGCAGTGAAATCTGAATCGAAGCAAAGCCCCTTGCCCCAAGCCTCCTAACTCCCCAAGATCTTCCTTCAAATCTCTTTTCCAAGGTTCAAATGCACTTCAATCCTTCACACTTGCGTTTTCTAGGGTTTTATGGTCTTAAGGGAAGGTAAGGAGATTAGGAAGAGGGCATAATGTCCTTTATATAGGGCTTATCCTCCGAAATTAGGGTTTTCTCCACTCAGCACCAACTCGCCGAGTTGGCCACTTAACATGCGACCAAAATCGT